GGAACAGGCTGCCCAGGGAGGTGGTTGAGTCACCATCCCTGGAGGTATTTAAAAGATGTGTAGATGTGGTGCTTAGGGATATGGTTTAGTGGTGGACTTGGCAGTGCTACGTTTACGGTTGGACTTGATGATCTTTAAAGGTCTCTTCCAACCTAAATGATTCTATGATTTTAATCAACAGGAAGCTCAGATGACTTGAAAAAAAGAACATATTACTGTCAAGTACTATTTCCTATTCTTGATCTTTTAAGATACTGGGGAAGGCAAAGTTCAAACTGTATTATTTTATTAAATGGTTTATGCAGGTCATATTTGGTTTTGGAGAAGAGAAGGCATTCTTGTAAATAGGCTTTGTATTCCAGTTGGTTTATCACAGATGTTCCAAAAACAAAGTGTCGTCTTTCTAATTCTAGCAAGAGAAATTTTGTCAAAAAGGGGTGCCAACACCACTTGTATTTGGTATCGACACCATAGACAAAGAGCCTGCCTTGGACGTCAATGACGTTAATAGTGAGCAGATCACCATGAAGTCAGGAACAGAGGGACATCTATTTCAAAACATCAGTTTCAAGCATCAGATGATGTCGTTACGTTCAGTAAGTTTAGTAATGTAAGAAGAAAGACAAAAATGCTTCCCACACAAATGTTTTCAAACCTCCCACGACACTGGCAACAGGGAACAAAGTATGTCATGACCAAGGGAGAGGAACAACCCTGAAGGCGTGGCTAGACAGCAAGGCTTGTCTTACTTTCTGGTCAAAACTACTGTGCAGAACTGCTGCTGCTTCTCATCCTGCACTGCTAGAAGACAGTCAATAGTCCAGCGCTGGACCCATGCTCCTGTTGGTCTGCTACTCTTTTGCCATCTTTGTATCATTTTTCTATTTCATCAGAATAAAAACCGTAGGGGGATCCTGGAAGACTTCCACAGAAACATAGTTCCTTTGGATTAATCGGTCCGTTGTTTGGCTATCTTTGTTTGCCTTTTTAAAAGTCTAAAAATGATATCAAGCTTCAATGAATGAGTCACATGCTTTTTCAGTGGGGGTTGCTGTGACTACCACACCTCAGTGAATCACAGTGTAGTTTTAGGGATCTGTTCTTCTCTGATACCAATTCCCCGAGCCTTTGCATTTTGGGTCACTGGAAATGGAGTGTTTTGTAGTTTATATCTACTTTGCAACAGGATACTATAGCTATTCAGACAGTTCCTTAAGCAGCTCTTGAATCCAGGAATGTTATGATCCTGTTCTTCTCTGGAGTCATTCAGGTGCTTTGATGCAGTTTTGAACTCCTGTGAGGGATGCTGCTAGTTCTTTGTTGTTTTTGTTTTGTTTTCTTTATTCTGACATGTGGGATCTTTGGTTTCACTGGTTCAGTGTAGTGACTTTTGAGTCAAGTCTGCAATGGCAACTGTTGACTGACTTCCAACTTGGAAGCTTATAACTATGTAACTAATCTGGGGTTACCCAAAATAAGGACCATTATTTTTATCCATCACAGTGTTTCTGTGTTGGTGCCATAAGAATTTGTTTATACTATGGAAAATCCTATCTTGGTGAGAGGGTTGAAATATGGTTTCAGCCTTGTCACAAAGAGTTCAAAATACAATATTCTGGCCTCATTAAAAATGTAGCTGTCTTTAGTTAAATAAAAAAAAAACAAACAGCTGGCAACTGGGCTAGTGCTGCAAGAAGTTGTTTTACTTGCAGCTATCTTAGTCATGCCATGGCTTCATACAAGCAGTTACAGTGGATCTTAAGGACTGTGTGGAATGAAGCTGCAGGATTCACAAGGCTGAGTGGACAGTTTACATGTATGTCTGGTATAGCAACAATTCAGGGATGACCCTGAAGAAAAAAAAAAGGTGTTTGGGAGTAATTTCTGTGTAAGCGGACATGCAGGAAGCTGAAGAATTCTGCTTATTTGGTATGTTTTCCTAGTTTTTAATCAAGAAGACAACACTGAGGGTTTTCCTCTTAGTTTCAGCACCTGGAAGCTTGTTTTAAAGACTGTAGGATTGAAGTCATAATTATTGCATAGGCTCTGCACTCAGTGATTTTTAAATTCTTTCAAAGTTAAGTAACTTTAAACTATAATGTGGATTTCAAAGGGGGTATAGTCTGCAGACTTACCATTCCTGGTAAGCTACTTAAATAAAAGTTAGATCACTTTGCTTGCAGTAGAACAGGAAGAAAACCACAAATGGTTAATGCCTAACTTGCAGTGATTGATTATAGAAAATGTGGGCATTTTTAATGAGATTAATATTTTTCAGTGAAAAAAAAGTAAAAAGCTTTGTAAATTCAAATGTGCAGTTCCTTTCATCCAAAATGGTATTAGGCATCTCTGGTTTTCTCTAGATGACTCTTAATTTCTCTAGACGCAGTCTAAAAATAAAAAGGTAAATTTTCTAACCGCCCACCCCAGCAGTAACAGGGCCTTAGAAAATCAATCACTGTTCCTTTGTTTTCCCATGCATTATCATGGTCTGCATCAGGTGTAATACAGTTACAAGTGACTTGCAGTAGTTACTGTAAGAGTAATGAGAGCCCTTAAAGTTATACTAAATTTTCAGTACTTAAAGAAGAATATACTTAGGAAACAGTGTTGAAACTCCGTGGCTGTACTAACTGAGGTCAGCGTGACAGAGGAGAAGAGGATTTCAGTTGTTCAATACCCGTGAAAAATGGGGAACAAAGTCTTGTAACTATACTCATATATAACATTGAAAAAGTCTTTCCGATTTGAAATGAGGAATATTTCAGTGTCACTTTTTGGTGTTTATCAAAACCAATTACATAAGTTTATTTTGGCAATGTAGATTCTTATTTTTTTTGACAAGAAATTACTACATATTTTTACATTATGACAATATATTACACTATGTTCACTTTTTTTTTCCTCGGCAAGAAAGTTCCTGTGGAAAGGAAATAGGAATCAAACTTTGAAATCTAAAATAAGGACTAAACTGCTTTTCATTTACTTTTCTACCCTTTGAGATGCCAGAAGCAATTTCCTCTTGAAGCTGACTTCCTTTCTGGAAATGATTTTCGTCTCCAACCATGTTGAGGCTCTTTTCTCATTCTTTCATTCTGACTAACTTGCTTTTTTCCCCTCTGACTTGCTACTGCAGTTGAGTAGAACTTCTGGAGGTAAGTAATTACAGACAAGTTTCTCTCTAACTTTCTTTTTCAGTTCTTCTCCCTCCTACCGCCCCCCCTACCCAGCCAGTCTAGAAGGACAAACAAAGCACTATTGGTGTCCTCTGCAAGAGAGCACTGATAGGGGGCTGGCTGTAAATTGACGTGGCATGGAAAATCTCTGCTAGTTTGTAGCAGCTCTAACATTGCTGCGAAATCAAGCCTACTCTTACCAAGTCTGTAGCTTGAAAACATCACGGGCTTACTGTTTCTATATAAAAAATGAATGGAAAGTACCTTCACTTTTCGATGTGGGAACCGGACTTTTTCTGTATTTGGATTTACGGCTAATAGAAAACAAAATCGAAGGGAGTTATTTGGTTACCTTTTTTTTTCCCCCTGTAGTGAGAGGGCGACAGATCTTGCTGCTTCTTACCAAGTCTGTAGCTTGAAAACATCACGGGCTTACTGTTTCTATATAAAAAATGAATGGAAAGTACCTTCACTTTTCGATGTGGGAACCGGACTTTTTCTGTATTTGGATTTACGGCTAATAGAAAACAAAATCGAAGGGAGTTATTTGGTTACCTTTTTTTTTCCCCCTGTATAGTGAGAGCCAGATCTTGCTGCTCCCCCCACCTCTTCCTGCAATTTAATCATTTGCAGATCTTGCCATGGGGTGCGGACTGAGAAAGCTGGAAGACCCAGATGATAGCAGCCCTGGAAAAATCTTTTCTACACTGAAGAGACCACAAGTTGAAACAAAGACAGATTCTGCTTATGAATATGTATTGCTGGATTTTACTTTAGAAGGTATCTTTTTCTGTTATATCTTTACTGTTCTGAGAAAGCAAAGAATAGGATTTAACTTAGTTCTGTCTTGTTTGACTTCCAGTAAATCTTAGATACTTTTATCAAAGCTAGCCAAAACGTAAGACTCTTATTTTGAAACGCAAATCATGACGAAGGTCCTCACTTAGATAAAATTACAATGGAAGCTACTGAAGTATTTTTAACAACCAAACCCTCCAAATTACACAACTGTCCTTGTTAAGGAAGCTGGCTAAAAACTGTTAGAGATTTTCCTAGTTTCCTGTGAGTCACATACTGCCATCCGTACTCACTTTGAATAATGGCTGTCTGAATTCAGTGTGACGGTTCAGAAAGTACACTGTGCCTGAGCATTAATTGAATAACATTTTTTTTAAATGTGCTCGACTTCTGAAAACAGGCTGTCATTGTCCTTGTTACTTTATGCAGAAGGAAGTCTGTTTCTTAGTTGTATACCAGGAGTAGCTTCCCCTCATATGCCCACCCCAGTCTCTTGGTAGCTATTTTAGTAAGAGTCTTAGTTTCATCTTACTATTTTTTCCAAATGCTTTACTTGTAGTTGTTGAATGGTCTTTTGAAATCGTGACCGAAATGAAACAAAATTTGTATGCGTAGCTAGAGGCAGACAGTGCTCTGTGGGATACTTCCTTCCCGAGGGTGTCCCGTCTCTAACAGAGCAACTCCCTGTTCCACAAAGTTGAAAACATAAACAAGCCCAGATGGCTGCCCTCTGAGAACAGACAGCTCAGTTTTGCAGTCACTTTGTAGTAACTTGCAGTTTATAACAACCCAGTCTACTGGAAAGTCTTAATAACAAGGATTTGAAGTAAATGCAGTTGCTAGAAGGGTTTGATAAAGGGAGAAAGTTAAGTGCATGTCTTGTTACATTTTCAGGAACTTTTTCATAAACAAAACTTGGCCTCTGCTTAGTTTTAACTCTAAATTACAGGACTGTAGTAGTAATTTTATTTAAAATATATCAGTGTTCATTGAAAAATTGCAAGATAATAATAGAAGCCACATTCTATTAAGTTATAGTATTCAACATCCAACTGTATTTGTTGGTCTGTTTACTTACACATATAAAGAGTTTCTCACTGGCTTGTTCTTTTTGAAGAAATAAAACTTTGTGTTGAGTAAGTAGTAGTGGTAATGTACTGGAAATAAAGCTAGGCTGCCTAATGCATACATGAATTACCTACTAATCTACTGATGATAGAAAGGATACTAAAACTTTTTTTTTTGAGACTGAAGAGCATTTAGCGTTCTTATATAGTCTGTGTTCTGAATAGTTTTACTATGTTTTAAACTAACAAGTTTCTCGAAGTGTTGTGTAAAAGATTTGTTGTAAAGGTAGTTGTGACTTTTAAGAAAAAGCACATCAAACAAGTGCAAATAAAGGTGCATCTCTATTATTTTAATAACCTATCACTACAGCAGTAAAGATTCATTTTCTCCTGCTTAGTCTGATATTTAAAAGTGCTTAGCTTCAGTGACTTACTGTGAAATTATGAATGCTAAATAACAGTGAGATCAGTTTTAATAGTTGCTTAACTTTTTTTGGTTTCTAACTGTAAGCCAGTGGATTTGTAAATGCAGGTATCTTTCTATTGAATTGTTCTAGCTGTGTGTATTTGACCTTAAAATATTGAGGTCTCTACTCTTTAGAGCTGAGATAATGAATACAGAAAAAACTGGTGTATGTTTTGGAGACATTTCTTGATTCTGTTTGTTTATGAAACGTGGGATTGGCTAAAGTATTGTGGGGAATATGTTGGGCTTCCCCCCCCTTCTACCCCAATCAACTCGCTCACATACTTGTTGCTACTTGAATATCCTTTGGCTAAATGAAACCTAAGTGAGAGCCTTTTATCGCTTTAGACCAAAGTTAGTTTTCACTCTGCTGTCAGGTTGTGTGTTATGTCTTCATGGCACTCTGTATCTGCTGGTTTCCAGAGCAGGATCCTACCCAACATCTGAGATTTCTGTTTGCCTGAGTGACTTGTTACCACTGGATCTGGCACCAAGTAAAACAGAAAATCTGCACTTAGCTTACTGTAGGATCTTATAAAGGATACTATGTCCTGCATTAAGATAAAAGTATAGCAAGCATAAATACATTATTTCAGTTTAATATGCCTTATCTCTGCTTCATCAGATTTATGCTCTGTGAAGTCGAAATGAGCCTGCTGGGGAGACTTTCAGGAGTCCCTGATCTTCTCCCAGGCCATGATGCAGATTAGGTCAACCATGATGTAGTCTAAATTTGCTGGCTGGAGTTGCTGTGCATCTTAGCTAGTTATCAGCAGTGTATTGTACCTTGGCTTCTCCCTTCCTGGTCCCCAAAATACTCCCATCCCTACTGTAAAGATCAGCTTTGAGTTCCGTGGAGGTTCTTCTGCATCAGGAGAATCCCAAACAAGAAAATTACGGCCAGTCTTTTATTTTGGTGGGATTGAATAGTACAAAGGAAAGGGAGCAGTGGACTCTGAACTGTAATTTTAAATGCCTGTCAAGGATTGTAAATTCTATGGTCTCAATCATGAGGCATATCTCAGTTACAAAAACAGCTGTTATTTTTGAGGTCAGTTTAACCCTAAAGTAGGGATAGTTTAAATACTCCTACTCAAGCAGAATGCTTACGCCTTTTCCACAACTCTTCTATTAGGGAAAAGAAGGAATATTGATGCAAGGGTATTTCACGTCAGCCCACTAAGATGACATGCTGTGAAGCTCTTGTCACTCTGAATAACAGTATGAATATGTATGAAGTAGCTGTTTTGTTGTCATCTTCAATATCGTGCATCTGAAGTTTACTATAAAGCTAGCAAGTTAGCTGTAGTTCTGTTATTTGTAAAGTATTTTGGCTACCTGTTGACAGCACATCAGGAAGGAGATTTTCTTAATGAAAAATGGTTGACATTTGCAAAATCAGTGAAGTGATTATCACGTTGCATACATTCCTGCTTTTTTGGCTTGTGGGCTGTAGAGTTATTTCTTCAATATATATTTAATGTCTCCTGGATTTACTATGAGTGGAATCATGGGATGGAGGTGTTACTAAGGGCAAAATATCATCCGTCTATGAAAGGGAGGGCTGTGATGTACTGTCTGCTTAAAAAAAAAAAAAAAAGTGCAACAGCCCTGTCCCTATGACTGAGAATGGCAGAGTTTACATTAATAGGTTGAGTTTGCTAGTTATCAGCAATAAACTGTCAATATATATGTTAGTGATACGTTCTGATAGAGCGCATTTCCCATGGTACACATTATTCAGGTTTCTCTTGATAGTGTTTCTGAGCTGTTAAGGCTCTTACAGTGACAAGCAAAGTAGGCCTCCATTCCTTTTTCCCCTTTAGTAAAAGTTGGTATTTAAAAGCATTTGAGTGTTATAAAACAGTAGTTTCAGGTTTGTGGGTTTTGTTTTGTTTTTTCTTTTAAAAAGCCCTCCATAATATGTATGTGTATATATATAATCAGTGTTATCCCCATTTTATAGTAGGCAAGCAGTATAGAGATTGATGTTTTACAGAACACCACTCATGAACCAGCAGAATTCTAATTCAGTTTATTAGAATAAATGATTAGGCAAACTAAAGATTCATATATCTGGTTTATGATACTTTAAACCAGTAGGATAGGTAGACTTTGTGACTCGCTGTGTTTTTGATAAAGTCCTTAAATTCCTTGCTATTCCCCACCTACAATATAAGGCAGGTAGATAAGAGGATGTAAGAACATTAAATTAAGGAATACATTTACAAAGCGGCAAGTGAGATTTATGTCATTGCATTTATCTGTTCTTTTTTCTCTTACATCATTTTTTAAAATTACAGAATCAAGGAGAATTAGTGTATTTAAATGTTTTCAGTTTATTGTATGGTTTGAAAGGGAATGTTTAAAACAGCATGTTAAAATGTTTGTATCTCAGTGTTGTGAGGTCACTTAATTCCAACTGAGGCATCCTTTAATACAGTTGAACACGGATCTTAATGCACTGAAAGCCTTGCAAAGAGGGGGACCCATCAGAACACAAAAAAGTGCATCACTTGTAGCAAGAGTCATTGATAAAAACCACCAAATTCCAAGCCAAGCTGTCTTGTCGTAAGAGTTTATCTGCAAAGGATTAAATTTTGATGATGGCAAATATATGCTGGCAAAATTACTCTTCGATTACTGTGTATGAGTATTGATTTCCTGCTTTGGAGGCTCTGAGAGCATCTACAGTTCCAGTTGGAGTTGAGGGGAACAGGAAATACTGACCATCGGACTTACTGTGGCAGAATATATAATCTGTTACCAGATTGGTGCGGAATCTTTCTTTTCTTTGTGCAAAAGCTGTGGATCAAGCCATTGAAAAAAGGTTCTCCAAAAAAGTTTTCCCTTTATCAAGTTTCCCCCGATAGCTATGCAGTACCTAGCTGTTGTCTATTGATTGGAAATGCTTGCACACACTCAGAGGGATCCTTCTTAGAAATTAGTGACACCACATAGCTCACTTAAGTGACATGTACTTAGGTCTACTGGAAAAAGGAATTGGGACTATGTTAAAATGTCAGCCTACAATCCACAGATCACTTCTAAGGGATCCAAAAAAAGTATGTAAGAAAAGCAAACCAATTGTTCTAGGCTTAAATTCATTGTACGGGAATTTACCTCACAACTAGGGCTGAAGGATACTGCTTCGCTAAGTTTAAGGCTTTGGCTAGACAAAATAGTTGCTTTGTTAAGTTCAGACCTATTGTGTGTTTAGATGTTGATGCAGCTCTTAAATTAGCTTGGCAAAGCTAGATCCAACAGAAAGTGTTGCCAACTAGATTAAAAATAGATCATATTAACTTGTAAAAATATGTACTTCAACTAGTTGAGTACTGTTGAATCAGCTGCGAATCTGCTTTTTCTTGTATAAATAGAACTGTCTTTAGTAAATGCCTTGGGATAGATTTTGTGTGGTTTATATAAAAGGAACTTGCCCAAAAAGTATATAGACATACACAGTATAATGTGCTTCTCTTCTGCTTTCAATGCTTTTAAGCTTCCTCAAATCCGGAAGTTATCAAGATCAGTTCTGTGTTGGATATAGCATCTAAGGTGGAAGAATATTACAGCAAAGGATATGTTGTAGGAGCTGTTCATCCTATTATACTGCCAATTGGACGTAGAAGGAATTTCCCTGCAAGTCACATGTATCGAGTGGTACTTTCACGATTGAAATTAAGGTAACAGTGAAATAATTTGAATATATTGGTCCATTACTTAAGCCATTTGTAAGTGGATTGCTCAACATGCATAATTGGTTATCAACTTGAAATGAGCACCTCAGAGAATCCAATTAACTGTTCCTTGTCTAGAAAGGTGAGCAAGTTAGTAATGTTTTTTTAATTAACTCTAACAGCACAATTGGCTAATGTTTACTTTGCTGTAGTAAATGTCCAAACAAAAATCCAAAGTTGCTTATCATAATTTGTGGGAAGATAAATTGTTAGTTTACCCTTTTATTTTTACTACATCTTTATAATAAAGTGTCATCTGTCATGGACCTGCAGCAAATACAAGATTAAACAAAACACTAGGAGAGTAACAAGCTGCTTTAAATTCTTTCATGTCTGTTTTTTTTCTTCTTTTTCAAAACTTTTGTCTTCACTTTTCCCATAAGAGCATTATTCAGGGAAAATGACCTATAAAGTGTGAATGACTTAGTTTGTCAGAGATAAATAGTTTATTTTTCCTTCTTAACAAGAAGGAAATAATCATTCTGTGATTGGGGGGGCATACAAAAGCTTGGTTTTGACACTGAGGGAGAGTCAAGAGTTTGTGTTTATGTTCCAGCTCCATAGTCTTGTTTATTACTCTTGTTTTCACTGCATTGTAATCACCATGTGATCATAAAGAAAATATACCAAAAAAAATTTACTGTTAGTTCCTTTGAATGCAAAGAAGATAACCTTTTGTTCTTATCTTGAATAACTAGAAAAGTGGATTTCTTATTGCATTAAGAGCTGTCATGCTTCTCCATCTCTCCTGAGTCCTAGTGCCATGCACAAAAAAGGTTCTTTCATTTTCTTTTGGAAGACCGGAAGGGCGTGAGTTGGAAGATACCCCCTGCCACTGCAGTAATACTTCTGTAAAACATGGTTCGTTTGAGGGAGCTTCTCAACTGCTTTGCTTAAACAAGCGTTCTCCGTGGTATTTGCTGCTCATACAACTTACCTTTATAAATTCATCTGCAAACAAGGTGAATGTTGTCCATGCGGGCAAATGCTTGAGTAAGAAAAGCAGAATACTTGCTCTCTGGAGCTGAGGCTTCTAAGAGCTGACGCTGCCAGCGCAGCTCATGCAATTCACCTTATCCCTGCAGATGTGGGATCCTTATGAAGTTGTGGTTTGAACCTTTAGGCCCTTGAATAGGTGAAGGATGAGACCCTGCAGCCTACATGTGAAACTGTTGGGTGTAGGTTCCCCATTTCCTATGCATATGTACCTATGTTGGTTTTCCTATAGGCAAATACACCTTCTCCGACTACTATCTGGAAAGTTACCTGTTATATTTGAATGTGTCTCGTTGATGTTTCATTCTAAAGCAAAAGATTGTGTGAAGGAAACATGAAATAAAATCCTATTATATTATTGATATACACCAAATATTGTTGTCTGAGTAATAACCTAACTGGCTTTAGAGAAAACATAATGAATACTATTCTTTAAATGGAAGTTACAGCTTGTTGGATTCTCAGATCTGAGTGATTTAAACATTACCTAACCCAAAGTCATTGTTACTGCATTGTGGTTTTAGTATTTGCCTACACTGCATTTCCTACAATAGCTGCAACTCTGCTTTAGTTAAAAAACTAAACAGCAGCATGTTAACAGTGTCAAAGTACCATTCCTATTCATAGTGTTTTCTACAAAACTGAATCTGTTTTGTGCTTGCTAAATTTATAGCTTAAATTTGTATTTTTTTCATTATCAGAGATTTTTGGGTTTGTTTGTTTATTACAAAAGCAGGGCTGTTTGTCAATAAAGCTCAGTTTCCGAAAGATGTCTATTAACAGTCTTCAGATGAAATTCCTGTTAAATATTAATATTCTTACCCTGATGTTGTAATACGCAGTACCTGCCACTTTGTGTAAGAAACAGAACAAATACCAAAACCTGCTGAGTTCTAAATAAAAGTATGAAGAAGCATTGCCAGGATTTCATTCATAACTATTCCAAAAGAAAAGAATTCTATATGCAAGCATTTGCTCAAGTTAGCAGCAAACTACTGACAAAGACTGCTTTCTTTCTGTGTTCTAGCCAGAAGCATGCAACACCCAGAGGACAAAGGCACCCCAGGCTGGTGATTGAGGAATGTCCTTTAATGTATGAAACACTGACAAATGAGGTAGTGAAAGAACTGTTAGAAAAGGTAATGGAGGGTTTTTTCCAACTTCTCCTGAGATTTTTATTTCTACCATACATGTAAGTTATATTTAGTGGTTGATGTTTTTTTTTTAGTTTTGAGTTTTAACCTTGGTTTATTTTATAGAAGCTACAAAACCTTTTCTTGATGTGAAAGGAGTTATTTTTCTTCACTAGTTGCTTTTTCTAATTTAGGACTTAGTACTGAGCCCTGTAAAGCTTTGGGAGACTGGCCGCTTACACCACTGAAAGCAGAATCAGGCCCAAACTCTCAGTCAGTCTTTATAAAATGCTTGTATGATAGCTTTTCTGGAATTAATATTAAAAAAAAAAAAAATCTGAAGTTTCATGTTGTTCTGGGTTAAGTAAGGTATTCCTAATGAAAATGAAAATATTCAATTTCTAAGAGATTTTTTTCATTCTTTAACAGAAATACAAAATACACAGTAATCATATTAAATATTTACTTGGCACAGCTTTTGAAAATATTGTATAGTTAAATAAAACTAAACTTCCACTGGAATGCAAGCTCTAGTTCTAGTTCTTTTTGTGTTTCACTTCCTCTGCAAAATTGGAGACTTGCCAAAACAGGAAACTATTGTTATTACAAGAGTTAGAGTGATATCTTTTACATTAGTTGCCAAGGAAAGAAGTAGAGGAAAAAGCATATTGGAGCTCTTTAGTGATCTTTGAGATTAATTCTCAGGTGTTTCAAATTTAAAATGGAATTCCATTACACATTTATTTAATACGTGTATTGCCAGGTTGGTTGTGTAGCATACCAGACAAACATTTAAAGGAAAAATACACTTGAAATTAGCAGTGCTTCTTTCTTGCAAGCAAATCTGGAACAGAAGTAGTAAGTGAAAATAACTTGATTTTAAAATGCTCCCAGTGTTTTAAAAAGACTGAGCCAATAATCCAGCGTAAAATTACTTTTTTTCTTTTTTTTAAAAAGATCTGAACCCATAAGACTTTGTGGCATTTCAGGAGAAGGATTGTCGTATTACCTCTTTTTCTGCATGTTACTTGTCACATTTAAAATTGTTTTGGTTGTCTTAGAAGCAGCAGCTCTGTATAATCACAGGGATTGGCATATCATATCATTGCTGTACACACATAATGATGGTAGATAGTACTAAAAAGGGATTGTAGTACCATCAGCTATTTGAGTGTTATTCACTCTCTTGATAAATAGTTTTTGTGAGTTAACTGGGTAGACATCCTTCTCTCTCTGCCCTCACTAATCCAGTACTTCCCAGGCGATTTCTTTCTGGGCTGGGGTTTCTGTATTTTCCTGGAAGGACTGTTGCACAGGGGAGCTTGTAGCACAAGATGGTGGGATCACCTTCCTCAATGTCAGGACTCTTTATCCCAGCAAAAAAAAAAAAAACCTCCCTCCAAGAACAGACACATCCCACAGGTGGCACATATTCTACAGTTGTATTTTGAGACTTCAGTGCAGAGAAAAAGACCCACCACTGGCTGAAAGCAGAGTTAAGAGGGTTTTCATTTGCTTCTAGCTCCGTCCTTTCTCTGCTCCTTCACTATTCTCAGTAATAGTGAAGCTGAGTAGCCTCAGAGGGAACCAGGGGATAATGAATCATGACACGTGACAAACAGATATTTCTATAGTATTAGTGGTTAGTAATTTTAGTATGACTGGTATCACATGTTTAAAGAAACAATACTATTTATTGCACCAGTATACTGCTTATCACTACGACACAGGAAGTAAAATACTTCAGATTTGTTCTAAATGAAGGATTTTGTATACACTAAAGTCAGTACCAGTGTTGGCCATCTTATTTGGCCTGAGTCCAAAGACATGCTGGAAGACTTCCATTTACTTTGAAACATGGGCAGTGTACAAAGACAAGCCACCCTCCTATAGTACAGTATTGTGTCTTTATGTCCTTGAAAATCAGCAGTTTAGTTAAACAGAACATGTATATAGAAGTGTGTGGTTTTTTTTTTTTAAAGTTACATGCAATTCTAAAATCACTTTGCAGATAAATTTCTGTTGTAAATACAGGTTAATGAAGCTGCTAAAAGAGGAAAGAAATTTGTGGGATTTGTAACGCAACATTTTCCTCAAACTAAAGCCTGTAATGGAACAAGCACAGATGGAAGTGCAGAGCTGGAATCAACACTGGGAAGAAGAAATAGGGAACACAGAGGAAGAAATTCTGATGAAAACTTTAAAAACTGGAATGAAGGGACACTGAGTGGCCACTCATCTGAGAGTGGGATAGAGGAGGAAATGCAAGGAGAAAGCGGTCTGTTACAGGATGCAGATTTCCAGTTTGGAAAAGAAGTCAGCCCTGTTAAACCACGAAAAGGAGACGGTAATAAATGCTGCTTGTTTATTGCAGCATAAGGTATTTTATTGAGCTGTTGTTTTAAAAAGGTGTTGGAAAAAAATAACAGAACAGCATGTTCTATTGTATCAAATACTGGTTTTGGAAGATGCGTCTTCCTTAAATGCATACGTATTTCTAAAGAAGTTGCCAGCTGAGGAAACAGAAGAAATATTTTCCTTCTGCTCTATGTATGTGAGAACCGTGGTAATATATTAAAATGATATTTCAGTTCTCTATAGAATATTATAAATGTACTGTCAAAAATCTAGTTTGTAATTTAAAACCAAAGGAAAAAACCCCAAACAAACCCCAAAAAATCACCCACAGTGTAATTCTGATTTTAAATGTGGTACAAACAGATAGCTTTTTTGCTTGATATGTGTATAACAAATATGTTGCAGTAAAAGTCTTTTCTTTTAGAAGGATGCAATTGTTTTAAGCCTTTTTGTAAATGCATATAGTTTTCACTTACTCTTAGTATTAAATCATAAACACGTAACGGATTTCCAAGAATATGTTATGATTCCAGTTCTCCTGCCTGTTTCAAAACTGACAACAAAGAGATCCCCTTCCAGCTAGAGCTGTAATTTTACGTGCTTCTAGCCAACTCACATAATGTACAGCAAACAAATCCGTTCATAATGGATTCTTTCTGGTTAACATGCCTTCAAGAAGCATCCTGAAAGAGATCACTTAATGCATTGACCATGAAATCAAAGAGGATAATTGTTACAAAATGAATTTACACTAGAGAAAAGCAAGCATTAAAAAGTTGTATAGGAAGGAAAAGTATTATTGAAAAATGTTGGTGCTGTGGTAGAAAACTTAGTTGTAGAAGAATCTGAGATACTTAGCGTAGTCTGTGTGAGAGATTGCCTGAAACAGTGACTTCTGATACTGAAGCACTAAGGCCTCCTGGTTTGTTGGGAAGAAAAGGTGAGAAGGAAGAAGTAATCTAAACCATGAGAACTAATGCAAGATAGTATTGTGTAGAAAGCAGGCAGTATGAAACTTTCATGTCAGATTGCATTTTGACATAATAGGTTCTTCCCTGATGGGCCAGACATGTTTTAATTGCTCTCAAAAGCAACCTTTTCACTTTCTTGTTAAGAGTTAAGCACCCTCTCCAGTTTGTAGACTGTCAGGATAATGGCTCTAAGGCTGAGATAATCAATGTCCCTCTTATTTTTAACACTTGAATTAAAGCAGTTCTTGTACAACATGCTGAGCCTTTATAGCATGATCTGTTAAACTTAACTCTTTCCTTACAGCTTGAAATAGTGGGTTTGCTATATGTAGCAGAATAGAAATCCTGTAAGCAAAAAGCAGAAAACTCTTGGTTCTGTTAAGGAGCTCTGTACAGACTGGCATGATCAGGTAGATTAGCAACCAGTGCATCCCCTACGTGCAGTGTTCTCAGGAAATTCTTCAAAAAGCTTTGGGCAAGAATATGAGGCTTCTCTACTACTAGTCAAATACTCCAGTAAAGTTATTGGAGCTCCTAAGACAAAACTTACGAAAACTTACAACATTTGCAAAGAAAGGTGGTTATGTAACCATAATTTAAAAAAAAAACTGTGAATTTTCAAAGAAAGTCTTACATGCATGTAGGTATGTGCTGCCACTTCAGTACGTCTGAAGTACATTTCTATTTAGGTCTGCTCAAAAGATGCAAAACTGTGTCTGAGTTCTAGATTTGGGGGTCATAACGTATGAATTTTGACTGCTTATAAATACACCACTTGCAGAGGCAAATTCTGATACACATGAGCAATTAAATAGTTGTATCGGGAAACTTGATTATTTTTTTTCTGAAGAACAAATATAAAAGTGATCTCACTTTAGTGTATGGGAAAGGAAATTAAGGTTTGTCAGGATAAATACGTTTATGCTAATACCACCACCTGTGGAGGTGGTAAAATAAAACTGTATAGAAAGGAGAGTCATCTCTTACTGATAGAGTTCAAAATTTTGTCCTGCATTTACCTTGTTCCAGGCACCTGATGTCACTTGCAGCGGGTGCAGTAACACTTCTCAAAACAGAGAGGCGTTCTCCCAGAGATTGACTCAGACTACTTACAGTCCAAACCCTACTTTGGAAATCTCCCTCTATTTCTGGAGCGTAGAGAGCCTAGCATCTTAAGTGGGGTCATCTAAACCAAGTTCCTTTGTTTTGGCAATGTGAATACTTCTGCTTTCTAGAAAAGTTGGTTTGTGTTGATTTAGGCTGCTCAAATGTTGAAGTATTAGACAATCTGAGAGCATTTTTTGGCGACTGGTTTGTTATCTCTCCACAGCAGTGACATACGTGTGAGTGTATTTGTAGAATACATTTATAGATCTAGGACTTCATAACTTGTCACCAGTGATTTCCTAAAATGGTATGGATTTGTGAATTTTAATTTTTGGTGAATGCTTGTTTATGACTGTTTTTGTAACAACACTGTATTAATGCCTAGATATAAAAAGCATTTGAGGATATGCAGGTTTTGTGTGCTTAACTCACACATTCATCAATTACTGTGTGGGAAACCCCAGTAGGCCACCAATTATACCGGTACTTCAGTACTCTTCAGAAAACAATGGGTAAAAATCAATACTGTACAAGGCATTCCTAATATTTAAAAATTTGGAAAATTGTCTTCAGTTATAGTAATTTCAAATATTTATAGTCAGAAGTTCCATGAGTAGCAAAAATGAAGCCTGTTTCCACAGGGTTTTTCTTAGCTCTAGTATATTTTCTCTATGCAAAACTCACCTACCTAAAAGGTCCAGTGACAACCCAACTGTAATATGTTCAAATTTTTCTTGTATCCCAGAGCATACCCCCCTCACACCTTGTCCGTCCTGAGTGTGTTTAGGGCTCAAGCTGAGTAGTCACATCAGGAAACAATTCTTAAAACTGTTGCTTAGAATTAGAAAACCACGTTGAAATAAGAGATTAATAATATTTTTATTTTGGAGCACTGTCTTCCAGAGTTTCATTCTTCTTCCTTTTTCTTTTCTTAGACAAGCTATATACAGTCTTCAATGTTTTTGATGATGATTCTACCTGCTGGACCTATCATGAAGGCGTTTTGTCTATGAAAGTAACAAGAAAGGGGCCAGTTATTAGTACACTGGAAGCAGACTGGCTAGAATTAACCACATTTTATTATAAACAAGGATTGTCCTTAATTGATTCTTTTGTACACTGGGAAACTTCTAAAGGTGAGTACTGTCCCAGAATATCATGAAGCTTTTACTTGTTTATGTAGAACTACATAATTTGCAAAAAGTAGATCGTATTTTGCTTCTTGTTGTGAAGGGCCATATGTAAACATGTTCAGATAGTCATTGTAAATTTACAGAATTTCATCCCTGAAAAGGGAATAATTTGTTTTCTGGGCAGTTATAGCTCTGAATAATTGAAATTTCTGCTTTGTTTTATCAAATTGAGGATTTCCGAAGCAGTGAAGTAGTGTAGTGTTATAATGAAATAAACCTTTTGCGCTAGTTCTTTTTTCTTGGTTTTGTTTTTCTAAAGGAAACGATACTGGGAAGAAAATCATTAGATACACGTTTCCCTGATGTTCATATTCTCCTGCTCACTGTAGATACTGTGCTGCACTCTGTTGAATATTTCTAATGAGGCAAAAGAGCACCTTGAGTTCTCATTGTGCTTACTGTACTGTTAAAACTAAGTCAGACTTTCCGTGCTTCCTGCTTTCTCCAGCTCTTTGTTGTGCTTAAAAAGTCTTTCCAAAACACCAAATTGCATTAAAATTCGATTGTTGATCCTGAAGCTTCAGGATGTTTCTGCAGGTTGTTCTGGTCAGATGTGGACATATGTGGAGAGTAGAGAAATCTGGTTTTGTCCTTGCCCTCAACTGTAGGCAGATCCTTCAGGACCTTTTCACACAGCTGGGAGAGCGGTCCTCCCTGGTCCCTCCTGCTTCTTGCGCTCTTCTGCAGGAATCTACCAGCTCAGTTAACACTCAGATTGTTACAATGACAGAGCTTCAGGCCACGGGATTTTCAAATTTTCATCTTCATTCTGCCAGTTTCAGTTCGATCTCAGTTTTTATTCTGGAGAGATCCTCCTAGCTCTTTCAGAGTTCCTAGCCTTCATCCTCCTGATGAACAGGCACAAGCCCAATGTCAGCAGTGCCGCTGCTGGCCCAGGCCCATCGCTGCACACCCTGCTGAGCCCAAAATCCTGCGCTTTGGCAGAGCTGTGAGACAGTGCTGTACCACCGCTGACAACAGGAGCAGCTCTTTATTGGCTGAAGTATTTTGAACTCTAAAACTCTGTTGTTGGTAAAATATGTAATTAAGAGATTCATTTCCATTTGAACTGAATTTGTCTGAAAGCCAGAAATTAGAAGTGTTGCAAAAAATAGTATGTAGCTACTGTTGTGCAATTACTTGAAAATAATGTGAAGAAAATGGTAGTACTGTAGTGTTAGGGGAACAGGCCAAGAGAGTCTGACATAGTTAATCACTTTGGAATGTATTAATTATTGTAATAAATGTTGTTTGATAGCAGACTTAGAATTTATACTTCACTAATGTGATACTTTGTCTTTGGTTGGATCTGTTCATGTCTTGCTTGTACTAAGTTCTAAGCTGTTGGTGTTCCTCTAGAATTGCTTATGGAAGTTCAGATTAAGCAAGCAAAACACAGGGCTGCAGTGGAGAAAAGTCGTGTAAAAAGTTTGTTGAAAAGGTTTGAGAGACCTTAAACAATTTTTTGCCATACTCAGGCTGATTATCAAGTGCAGTAGTTTACTTAATAATGTATTAAAATGGCTTTCATAAGTCATTTTACATCTCTTCTTACATGAATTATACAAGGAGGGTAGAATTACTGGGGGTTTTGAGTAGTTTTTATATTTACTATATGTCTTATTTAATGCTTTTTTTTCCTGATACTCTAATTTAAAATAATGTGCGTTCAGCATCCCTTTTGTAAGGCTTAGATTAGTGAAAGGCTTAAATTTAAAAAACCCCAAAGTTTAAAACACAAAGTCTTTGGAAGTTAAATGATGTGGGTTCTTCAAAAATCAAACCCTGAAAACAATGAGAACTCTTCAGTTTTTGTTGTTCTCGGTAGTTTTGAGTGTGAATCACTGCATTTCTGTAGCTCTGCAATAAAGTAAATTTAGTGAGTGTCAGAGGAACACAAGTGCATCGACATCACTATATTTACCTCAGTTGAATCTGGCAGCTAGTCCCTTTCAAACTGCATATTTTGTGCACATAAACAATCTAATGGCACCGTTTGTACTGGTCATCTTTCTTGCTCTTAAATTATAATTCCTATCTATTGAAGTCAGTGGAAGAACAAAGTTTCCTTTGGGGGAGGAGAGGTGAGAAATCAGACTCCTGGTTTTCAATACAGATTTTTTTAGAGCTGGAAAATAACTCTCTGGAGATATGTTACAATTCACTGAGGGGTGTTTTTGGCAGCTGTTGAAATTAATCTTTGCAGCTGTTGTCCAACAACAGTTTACAGTCTTCCCATTCCCCTGTAGCTGTCTGCTCTTCTCTATGTGAATAACTATCCCATCTTTAATACCCAGGTTATGACTTATTTAGGGATTTCATGCTGCCTCTTTGCAGCAGTTGGTGCTTCTGCTTCAGCCCCACTTGACTGGTATGTGTTTCAGTTAGACTCACGGGTGGGACGCTGCTGAATTAAACTGGATATATCCAAAGGCACAGCTCACTATGTGGATGGAATTCTGCAGCTGATCGAGTGTCTGTAGCCACAGTAAGAAATTAATTTAGCTACTAAGTTCTTAAGCTAAAATGTTTGCTCTTGAGGTGAACATTGAAGAGTTCTATAACCAGATAAAAGTTTGGCATCCAACAGAGGGAAACCTAAAATGCTTTTTTGGGGTGAAAAAGTATTTAAGCACTTGCACTCATTACCAGAATTACTTCTTCTATGTCTGCATGTACATCTAATTGTCATCTTCACCTCACTTTTGTTTGTTTGCTTTTAGACTGTGAGGTGTCTTTAGCAGTAGTTGTCCTTTTATACAGCTTCAGTGAAATGAGCAAATTTTAGCTATTGTTTCAATAAAAATAAAAACACCGGATACAAGTCAGGCAGCTGCAGAAATCCTCCTCTGGTTTGGACTCTACAGATGTTCTGCAGAGTCAGCAGAATTCTGTTGCTACCAGGATCAAAATGCAATACCCAGTTTAAGGCAGGAGGAAGTTTTAACATAAAAAGAATTCAAAAAAAAAAAAAAAAAAAAAATCATTGTCAATTCTTAATAATTACCAACTTCTGTGTTCTGCTGCCAAAAGAGGATGCAGTCATAAAAATAATCCAGGAAAGTTCTCTTTTAGCAGCCATTTGGATCATTGTTGTGTTTCCTCCATTTGCAGCTGCCTTGGAGGCTCTCATGATCGTAGAAGTACCTAAGATTAGTAGAAGTGCTGTGGCAATATTTTTTTATTTTTTTGGTTTTTGTTACCTATCATGCAGCACTTTTTTTTTTTTTTTTTTAGTACTGAAATTAAAAAATTAACAAAGATTAACTATTGTAATCGACAGAATGGGCAGGTGAACCAGTTAGCTGCACGTGTAGTTTTTTAATAGAGGTGATTTTGACATGGTACGGTACACTTTTTAACAGTTTCTTGCAAATGACTACTGAGTGGAGGTGTCTTGTCTCAATAACTGTTTAAAACTTAGAGTTATTCTATCATGTTTGAACCATGATAGAAAAACGAAATATTCTAACATGTTGTAAGTGGACTGCCCATTTTAAGTATCTGCCTGAACACTGAAGAAAGGTTGAAGTCCATGAATTTATAAGATTATTAATGAATTATTAGGAGTTGTGCACATATTCATACGTTTGTGCCTGAAGCCATATATTCAGTTGCATGTACAATCACATTATATTTATGTGTAATCTAAAAATAAAATATGTCTAATATCTCTACAAATGCATGGAAGAGAGATATATATGCATGCAAGTATCTAAATAATCATAACAAACTACATAAATCTGCTACATGCAATATAGTAAAAAATAGTATGACCAAATAGTTGGTATTTTATGGTACATTAACAAGCATGCTCAACAAACGGGAATTCCTGGTTTACATAGTACAACTTCTGTGCCAATCTGGTCAATTTTTAAAACTAGACCAGTTGCATTCCGTAAGTTTTCTCTGTTTGCTAGGTGTTTTTTTTCTTTTAAGTTTATTTGCCTTCCCTGAAGCTGTGGCAAAAACAATCACTCTTTACATCTCTCTGTGCAATATTGGAGAAGATTTAAATCTGGTATTCTGAGGATTACATAATTTTACTGTTCAAATTTAGTTTAAAAAGTTTAAGATAGTCAGCTGTCAAGGTACCTCTGCATAAAAGGCTTCCCGATGGCTCTTAGGAGAAGCAAAACCAGAAAATGAACCAATATCTGATGCAAAGCTTTAGTTTGGGCCAACCGGATACTGTCAGGCTTCGACAAGTGAGTCAGGGAGTTGTGCTCTGAAACTTCCTTCCCATCAGGAATCTTCCTACAATTACTTCTGTTTCAAGCTCTTCCTGTGGCCGTTTACATATTTATTTAAGTAACAGTAGCTAGGCTTTGCACTTCATGCTTCATTTATCTTTATGGTCTCTCCCACCACACCAAAAGCCACGTTTATTGTCAGGCATACAATATTGAAGTTGCATAAAGAGGGTTTGTGCCCATCTGCTGCGGGGGATAGGTTGAATACAGGAAACTGGAATTCAGATTCAAGCATGGAAGTGGCTAATGCTTTTGAGACAATGAAATGGTTCATAGTTCAATTTGTGTAGAAAAAGGGTTTTGAATGATAAGTTGACTTGCGTACTTCATCAAGTTGTAACTAGGCGCAGGAATAACCACAAATTTGAGTTAGTTGCTGTCTCAGCCCAATTTATTTTAGAGGACTGTTCAATGAGAAAAAACAAGCCCATGTGTACATCTCAGTAAGATATCAACCTAAAACTTTATATTTCAGTTTATGTTTGTCTTTATGTTCACAGGGGACCATTTGCCCAAATCTTTAGAAGGATTATTTATCTACGAAGAAGAAGGTGCTGGGGTTCCAGGTTCTAACAGGAAAGGAAATGATGCAATAGTTGTTGAACAATGGACAGTCATTGAGGTAAATTGGTGATTATTTAGCAACGCAATTTCCTACTTCTAGTTTTGTTTTTTCCTTAGAATGCTTGTACCAGTGTTTGATAAACATTCAGGATGGTTTCTTGAAGCCACCTGCATAAGCTAAACTAAAGCCTTGAGTCATTAAAAATGAAGTCAGGCCTGTGGCCGTTGGTCAGGGTGCATAAAAGAAATATGCCGCAGGGATTCTGACCTGACACTTACAAATGTTCATACCAACAAATACAAACACCGAAGAAAATATCTTTTTGAAATGTATGTGTTTCAGACCAATTTAGACGTAATTTCAGCAAGTGCAGCTCCGCTGACAATGTGCTGAAGTATTTTTAAATAAAAAGAGTAACAAAATAGCAAAAACTAGAAACAGAACAAGAAAAAAATGATAGCGAATGAATCAAGTATGGTTTTCAGATGTATATTCTTAGTAAAATTTTACTGTTAAATATCAAAGACTTCATTTTTTCCTCAGAAATTTACATGTGCTACTGTAGCATGGTACAGCAATAAAATTATGTAATTTTTTTAGTATTTTAATATTATAAGATTATTGGTATGAATTAATGACATCTGAAAGTAATCGTTGTTGGAGGATATTGAGGGCTTATTTTTGAAATATTCAATGATAAATACATTTACCGATGTGAAAAGAAACAGCATAAGACTAAGACCTTGTATATTTAAAAACAAACAAACAAAACAAAAAACAACCACCAAACCCCAAAAACCTAAGTATATAGCTAGGTGAGATGCTTGTTATTCAGATGTGAAGTAAAAACCTAAATACATCAAATGAGGTGCATATTCTGGTGTTTAAAAAGTTTTAGACATTAATTTAGCAACATGACAAGTTTAACAAGTGAGATGTGCTTTGAATGTCTTGCTGAATCAGGGCTCATACCTAAAGTTAATAAGCTCTATTTTCCTAGTCTTCTGTAGTCTTTGAACTTTTCAAATTGTTTTCAGTTTGAAATAGCAAATCTCCACCAAACAACACAGTACGATGTCATCTCAAAGGATTGTCTCATTATAGATGAGAGGAGAGTCATTGTAATTTCTGTGTAGAAATGCAAATAAAACCTGTACAGAGTCTCTTTACTACTTTTTATAATTATTAATGTAGGGGTGTGAAATTAAAACAGATTATGGACCTTTATTGCACACGCTGGCTGAGTTTGGATGGCTCCTGACCTGCGTCCTGCCTACACCCATCGTACGACATGACAGGTACCCAAACAATAGATTACAGCATTTTTGGTGTACACATCTCTGAGAATTATCAGGTGATTTCTTGTGTACTTAAATGTAACAGGAAGAAACATGCTAATAATGTTAACTGCATATAAAAACTTGACATGTGAGTAGCATTAGGGTGGAATCTTTTTTACCACGTTGTTTTAGGACTGCTGACGTCTGGGAGTTTCAAACTAGACCAGTAATCCTAAATTTAAAATACATTGTATATATATAAACATTAAAGATTTTGTTTAGGAAACTTTTTATCACGTACCCAGTCCCCAGCAATGGGGTTACTCATATGCTTCAAGTTTAAAGAAGTGTTGAAATGTTTCACTAATTTAGGACCTTGGTGAATGACTGGTTTAGACTATGTAAGAAGTCATGTTGTCACAAGACAGTCATGCAGTATTTATTGCAAATTAGGGAGGAGAATGTCCTAATCCAGCAAGTTATTGGGCTGTTTCTCTTTAATGTAGACATCATGTTTCATTTCAAATATAGTCCCAAACTACTGGATTTCAGTTCTCTTATTGTAATATTCAGATGACTGAGGGGATCTGTATATCTAGGAGGAGCTAAATAGCAGACCTGGATCCCCTATAAGGTTTCAGTTTGGTTTTGGGGGGGTTTTTTTGTTTGTTTTGGTTTTTTTTTTTAACCAAAAAAAGTACTGTGCTTTTCTTCGTGGTATCAAGCTAAACAATGGCAAATGAAACACTGGATTAAGCATACATCCCTTCCCCCACCCCTCTTTTTTTTGGGGGGGGGGGACAGGGGTGTTTAATTCTCCTCTCATTGGATTAAGATTGTCAAGGTTTGAAAACAAACGAATGTACTGAGGCATGGCTTAGGGCTTCTTAAGGACAATGGAAAGAGTGGATGACTTTAGTAATCCTTGGATGCAGACCTCACTGTATTAAATCAAGACAGCATGAAAAAGGATATGAATGAAAGGTTCTAAGAGAACTACTTCAGGAAAGTGGAATTTTGTTCAAGTGATTTGACATAATTAAATCAACTCACCCATGTGAGAAGGAGGTTTTTCTGATCAGGAAATAGTTTGGAAATTTCTTTGTTTTGGCTGTGTGGGTTTTTTTTAATAGTTGATTTTAACCAACTGGTTAAAAGCAAAGACAGAAGAAATTGTGGTAAAACATATGGCATGTTCTGCTGTTTTTTAAGGGTCCTTGTATGTTGTGTTTTCTTCTGAAATTTATGAAATTCTGAACTTCTAAAGCTCCTGCTCCAGAGAGAAGCAGTTTTCAGAACATGAAACAAAATGGTTATCCTTTAATTCATTTCTTCAAACGAAATTTTGTAGTCTAAGTGTATTAGCTTTGAACATGGTGACTTGTTAAGGGTATGTGAACCGCTGAGCCTGGTTTTCATAAACAGCTGAAATTTTTGGCCAAATCTTAGAGCTTGAGAGTAAGCATTCAGGATCTGCATCTCCTCCTTGAAGGACGTGAGTGGACAATGGGAGAGAAGGATTTTAGTAGTCATGGTGCCCTGTGGGTTATAGGATGGGGGAGAGGTTTTAACCTCAAACCTCTTCTATCCCACAAGCAGTGTAACTGTACCCATCTCTGTAGGGTTTGGGCAGCAGGGACAAGATTGTCCTGAGCAGCTGCTGGTCAACCACTCTCTATCAGTCTGTGCTTGCAGCAGGCAAAATGATGCTATTTTGTACCTCATAGATTGCAGAGCAAAGGCAGGGCCATTTAAAAGAAGCTAAGTGCTATAAGGAAAAAAAAAAAAGGAAAAAGTGCTGTAGGACATACTAACAGAGTCATTAGACTGGATCTGTTCCTTGAACCAGTAAGAAGGTAATATACCAGCAAGATATTTAAGTTGCACTAGATGTCTGAAGTAGCCTTGCTTCCCAGATGTGAAACAACCAGCCCACTAATAGCTGTGATAATGCAAAAGGGGGTTGTAACCTGGCCAAAACTGAAGTTGGATTCATTTTGTATCAACACTAGAATAATTCAGACTAACGAAAAGCATTTTTTTTTCTGGCCTAAAGCGTTGGGTAGGTGTCTGCATGAATTGTCCTTGCACTTGTTGTCCTAGCGTGGCTTGTGAGATACTTCTGGAAGAAATAGGATAAATCATGTTTTGTGTGCCTGTTGTGTATCTAGTATACAGCTATTCAATTTTCTGTGATGGGGAGGAAAAAAAAAAAGCTCATGAACAAGAATTCCTAATTAGGAATTAAGAATTCTTAAAAGAATTCTTAAGATACAAAAAAAGAATGTGTTTCTATCCTGATAGGCTAAGTAGTGATTGATAAATACTATTTTTAGTTGGTATTTAAAGAGGAGAAGAAATTCCTGGGTGGTTACTGTGTGTCTGATATGAAAGATGCCATTACTGTGGTGGTGGTGGATTATCCTAGGAATGGAAGTTAAATGTCTCAATAAAGAAGGACACTTTATGCTGCCTAACAGCTGTTCTTCTCCCAGACTTGGAACTCTGACCTCAAAACCCAGCCTGAATATTAATGGGCTTCAGAAACACCGAACAAACAAAATGAGCAACATTTTGGGACTATCTGGCAAATTCATGTTTTCATATTTATTTTAAAAAAAGAATTTGGACAAAGTATATAAAGAAAATTCTATTTAAGAATAAAATATGTTAGCGGGGCAGCCTGCTCCCCATTTCTATTCACCTTTATATTTTGCTCTAGTCTCTGTTTTCCTCTTCTCCTAATTTATTGCAAAACTTTCCCTCATCTCAGATCTTCTGCGATTATGCCTGCTGCTTGTCTGCAGACGAAGAGTGTGACCAACAGGCTAACAGGTTCTGGGGTGTGACAGGATTGTCATGCACTGATGCGTTCCTTTTTTTGGTTTTTACACGGTTAGGATTTGAAACAGTTTAAAAAAAACGCTCGGCTGTAATGTCTGTTCCTGTGTGGTTTTGTTGTTGTTGTTTGAATTTCTTTTTTACAGATGTGCCTCTCCATAAAATGAAATGTCCTGTTGCATGGCATGTCATGCCACGTGGTAGCTGAATGTCATGGATCACTGTCCCGTTTCAGGCAGGGGCAGCAGCCTGTAGGCCTGTTTAGTACTTTAGCTCTTACCACAAGAGCTAAATCATGTTGGATGCAGGAAACATTTCCTTGAGAAATGTTGTCTTTGCTGTTACAAATGGAGCAATGGTAGATGTCGTCATATTCTTGAGACAGAGTTGCTTTTTTGTGCAATGTTGTTTGAAAAATAAGCACTGTGGGGTTTTGGGGGGTGGTTTTGGGCAGCACACTATAAAAGCCACAGAAGTTTCCCCTCTTCTGTCAGTGATTCTCTCTTTCCAGGGATACAAGAAAACAGAGCATGAAAAAAAAAAAGTCCATATGATGCAATGTTTGTTGTATCCATCCATATCTTGGGTATTTAAATTTTGTCAGCAGTCATTAAAGATTTCTTTTTGGCCAGAAAAGCAGACCAAAAGAGAATAGAAGACCCACCCACAAATAGTATTAGTGACTCAAAGGGCCTCCTGCATTATGTACAACTCTTACTTACTAGGTAAATGTTTTCAAGACAAGAATTTGACAGTAATTATGCCTAGTTCAGAAGGTACATAGCAAGGATAAAATTAATAGTCCTTTTAGGAGTTAAATCTAGTGACTGGGGGGGGCGTTGGTTAGAAAATACTTTGCTGGTAACTTAGTGCTACTGCAATTACTAATATGATATTATCGTGAGTTTGTAGAATTTCATACATGTTTGTGGTCTAAAATTAGATTTCTAAGGTTTGGGGTTTTTTTCATTAAACAGATCCTTTAAGCCAGGAGACTTACCCCAAGCTGGTGTGTGTCTCATAACTGAAAGTCTAGATGCTGTGCAATTCCAAAGGAGTGCAAAACTTTATTTGGGGAAATGCAAAAAAAAAAAAAAAAAAAAAGGCTAAAAGAATTTATTCTCTTGCTCCTTTTGTTCATTTTTCAGAAAACTTTGTCTAACCTTAATTTTAAGTGCTTTGTATATAAAATGTTCATGCAAAAAAAAAAAAATAGATCTGTGAAGATCAGAGCCATTGGCAGTACTAGTTAGCTTCTAGCTCAATGATTGTTTTGGGGGACTTATTATAGGTATATATTTAATAAGAGGACAAATTTATTGCCCATACAGCATAAGCAGACAAGCAAATTGTTGGTGTTTTAACAAGAGTCTCTGTTGCTCTTCATCCCTCTTAAAAGAAGAGACAGGAAAAAGGCTTCGTCAGCCTTACTCTGCAGTGACCTTTATTTCCCCGCACTGATTACTGTAGTCCCTGAAAATGGGCAAGGCAGACTGTCTACGAGCACCAGAAAGCAAGCAGGCAAATACAATGCAAAACCACTGACTTTGTGGTTATTAATTTATCATGACAAACTACTTAATCTAAGTTTTCAAAATGCCCTGACTTATGAGGTAAAGATGGAATGTGGAAATGTGAGGGAAGCTATGGAGTGGCTTGCTCTAAGCACTTTTTCTCATTTAAATTCTGTGGAAATCCCACTGTCATTGAGTTCTTTGTGAATTAAGCTCATAGCCGCTTTGTCGTGTGCGGCATTTTAATAAGGTCGGACTTAGAAAATTGTTAATTTACTTATTCTCTACTCACTATCGTGTCCTTTCTCTGTTCTAGCAGAATTTGTACAAGCTGTAGCTTAATGTTTGGGGTTTTTCTTTTCTCTGAAGGAATGCAGACACTGTTACAAAATAAGCTGTAGGCTCTTCCCTATGCCAGGGACTGTGCTCAGAGAGATTTCCCAATTGATATTATCAAAACAGACATAACTGAGGCAGGGAGAGATACCTAGCCAAGTGGAATAAGGTTGCAGGATTGCCGATTTCCTTGTCATAACATAAAATTGTAACACGTATTCTGTTAATGAATGCAAATAGTGAGGTAAGGACTCTCAGAGCAGGAAACCTTGTTAACTTAAGGAAACTAATGAGTTCGTTCTCCTGCCTCCTTGTTTTCCCCACAAGCTGGAGTTTAAGATAGTTCTCTATTCTCATCCAAGGAAGTCATGCAAAGATATGCCATGACCTGAGTTCAGCTGGGCTGAAAGGAAGATTGTGAGGGGCCAAACACCATCACAAAACCATCATCACTGTTGATCAGAATTAGCTGAGTACGCTGGGAATGGTGCTGTTTTGCGTATTTTCTCAGAGCTTATTTCCAGGAGCTCTGCTGGGGCAGGCTGTTAACAAGCTCTTCCCGATCTCATAGGAACACTTTTAATCCCTGATTTTTCTTGGAGCAAGTCCTTAATGTTAAATATAAATTAATTCTATCAGTTCTAGCCCTGGCATAAAAGACGAATCCGTTATCTCAACTTTGTGTGTGGTTAAGATTGCGACATACCTATACTGAAGTACAAACTTACGTTATTTTAGTAGCTCTTTCCGTAATGTTGTGCGTAATAGTACTATTTTATGATTGATAGAATAGATAGAATCATAGCTACTTCAAATGAACTCACTACATCTCTTGTGTTTCTGTTTTGCTACTTTTCTTTAGCGCACTCTTAAATCTGTAGTCACTTGTCTGCCAAAGTATTTCAGTGTCTTTCCTTTGTGTGCATAAAGATCTCATTGAATGTTGCCCAGAAGTAGGAGTTGGGGGGAGAAGAAGAGTTTATCAAAATGTAGTATCTGATATTTAGAGCACAGGAATTTTTTAACCCTCCCATCCTAGAGCTCTGGTCTTGCAATTCTTGCACTCTTTCAGTGCCACAGAGTCAGGCTTTGTAGTACATATGCAATCAATGTGCTGACCTGTATTTCTGATGAAATGGTGATGAAAATAAATACATAAAAACTTCAAGAGGATGTATCACCAGTACTAAGAGAGCGTAACACTTTTGAAACATCATATCAGTAACTTCTGATTTGGTTTTGAGGAAAAACTTCACCTTTTCACATTTATTTTTCTAAAAGTATTTCCTTTTGGGGAAAAAAAAAAAAATTAATAGTGCTTCTTTAAATTATATCTACCACAACAGCATCAACATTTGTAGAAGTTTCAGGACTAAAAACTGAAGTTCCTCCTTTTTTTTTTTTCCCCTCCTTTATTTATCTTACTACTTTATTCTCTTGCCCTTCCTATGCATGTACCTCCCACATACAAAACAGCCAGTGTAGTTTATCTCATTGTGGATGTAGAGCTTAAAAACTGAGCTGAGTCCTTTTGTCCGTAGGTGGTGATACAGCAAGCTTATCCCGCTGTGTCAGTTAGATGTCATGTTACAACCGGAAAACACCTTTTAGTTAGCAGTACAGAATGTTAATTCCCAAATTTCATACCACAAAGTATTGAGATATTTGCTGAAGCTGTGGATCTATTGAGATTGGGCCTATTTGTTGTGGCGTTAATAGGTAGTAATATGCTGCTGTATGTTTGACAGTGAAGATTAGATGAAAGAAAGACTCTTTGAGGTTAATTTCAGACATAAAGGAACAGACTTGGATTAAAAGTAGGAGCTCTGGTACTTAAACTTTCAAGAGAAGACGTGTTAAATAACTAATCATAGTAATACAAATTTTTGTTCTATACCTATTTTCATGTGCAACACCTTAACCCAGCTCTATGCTTCAATTTTTTTTTTTAAATGTGATTACAGAACTGTTTAGGAATTAATAAACCAATTAATGCTTGGTAGTCTATCCTCTTCTCACTCATGGACTTAGATACACACAACTTACAGTTGACACTGAAGGTATGAACGTGTTACAGTGACTATTATTGCTTTTAAAATATTGAAACAATTTTCTTTAAATTTTAGTGAAGGAAATCTGGCCACAAAGCAAGTTGTTTTTCTTCAGAGACCTGTTATGTGGAATTTTGCTGTCCAGACACCAGAGGTGAGTAACATGTTTATGGTATAAATATAAACAAAGTAGTACTTCACATAATGGTTAGGTACAGAAACAAACTAGACTTCAAAGTTAATGGGGAAAAAAGTGGCAGAAGAGGGTTTCACTTGCAAAAAGTTCAAGTTTGTGGAGGGCTTTTGCAGCTGAACTCGTATGTTATTTTTTTTTCTCAGACGTATACCTCTTGAATTAAGCCATAGAGAAAAGCATAAGCATGCTAAAAACCTATTTTGTGCTACGAAGTTACTGTGTCTCAGGTGGCTGAGGTTGGCTATGCTGTAAGTATTTCTTTAGAAGTCTTCAGGAAGTCTTAAATGTTCCAATTCAAATCCTGGATCTGTTGCACATGAAAAAGAAAACATTTTATTTTGACCTCCAAAACGTCTACTTTCACGCTTGTAGAAGAATACAAGTGTCAAGCTGTGCAAGGGATACTGTAATCTGGAGGTTAACAGGGTGAAGGGCTGTTAACTGTTGCTGCATGAAAACGTGTGACAGAAGTAGAGGACTTAAAATTCCTGCAGCTGGACCTCAGCAACTCCTTGGCCTTGTTGAGTGAGGCTCCCATAAGAGTGGTTGTATAAAAGTGCTTTGAGGATTAAGTAACTGGCAGTCACCACGTTCTGCTCAGAGTCAAGGTCACAACAGTTATTGCACCTGTATAGCGCTGTAGTAAATCCTGCTGTGGCCAGAGAAGGGTGAGCTGGTGGGCTCTTCTTTGCCGCGTCTTTCAACGTCCTGTGATGGATTTTTGCTACTTCTGTTTTTCAATGGCCATTCAACCTTTTTCCAATCAACGCAGCTTTCCTGTGATAGTCTTAAGCAGCTATGAAAACTGTGGACACTTTCACTCACGTTCAGCACCAGAGTAGTAACTTTACGAACTGTCATTCGTGGTATTATATACTACTATAAGGCAACGACACCTAGTCTCTTCTTTTCTCCATCTGTATAAATAGTTCCATGAGTCTCTAAATTTCTTGCATTCATATTTGATCTTTCTCTGTCCTTTTTACATTCTATCCAGACTGTTACCATCATCTTTATTTTCCTTTGCTTAGTGTTTCTCAAATATACAGCTTCCTTCTCACTGTGTCCCCTGATAATTACTACTTCCATGCTGGGAAGAACTGCATTCAACATGCACAATTAAAGTCCTCTTTTATTTTTCGTCTCTACCGCCATCTCAGTTCCCAGCTAGTTCTTGTACACTGTCTATAATTTATTTCCTCATTTACAAAATTTGACCTCCTTCTTTTTTACTCTTCAGTGTTCTGTGTAGTCTCCCTTGCCGATGTCTTAATCTCCTCTTCCATTCATGCCCGCTTCTAAATTCTGCCAGTTCCTCATACAATTTTTTCCTTTAATTTCCCCCCGTGTACCAACATCTTCAGCTTTTAGCTTTCAAAGCTTCTGACCCCTGACCCCATGCCTGACTTTGTAGTCTTTACATTCTTTCCTAATACATTTCTGAAAGTATGTTTTGGAACATAATTTTGATATCAGTATTGTAAATATATAAAACTTTATTATGTCGGTCATTATCCAATAAAGTCATACTTTTACTGATGTAAAGTATCCTTCCCCTACTTTTCTTAATACTCTGTATAATAAGGGCGTGGACTGCTGATATGAATACTCTTTCCTTGGTAAGGCATGTTATTTCTAACTGTAAGCATCTCCCAAAAAGCAGCGTAAATACATGACACAAGTTAGAGTGGTTAAGACTGGATTCTGCCAAGGGAGGTAATACAAACCAGTTCTGTAAAAACATTCAGTCTGAGGAACTGATGAATCTTTGAGATGTGGTTTAAATTAAAAATAAGAAGCATTATGCTCACTGTCTAAATTCTGTCACGCACTTGTGCGGTGATCAGCAGCTGAATGACCTTTACATTCTTTGGTTTATACAAATAAAATGGTAGTGTGTTTTGTAGTCATTGTTTTACTTTGTTGTAATGCGAAACCTTTGACTTCAGCATTAACATACTGGAAGTAAACGAGAAATAGCTGATTTGTAGCCATTTACATCAGGATTACGGTGTTTAAAATGTATCTAAATGTGCTTCTTAAGTACCAGTGAATGTTTTACTTCTCCACCAGGAAATTTCAGTATGCTGAGGTCATTTTAGCACGGGATAAATAGGTAGTTCAGGGTGAAGCTGAAACGTTTAGCAGAAGTAGCATTTTCCTTCTGTTTTTCCAATTATGTTGGTTTTCCCCTAAATTTTAATCTTTTTACTTCATTGCTTTTTTACCAAAATGTCTGAACTGGCAAACAGCGTATTCATTATGATTTAAATTCATAGATTTGTTAGTAATACCTAACTTGTATAGAATGTCATGCTAGCTTTGCATTGAGTAGCTAGATTTCAGGTGCAAAACAAGCTACTGAAATTTGAAAGCATTAACTTTTGCTCTAGAAACTTTAATGAAGACGTTTATTTAAAATGTCCCCTGGACATTGACAACAGAGCTGTACAATTTTATCAAACCCTTGCAAACATTTTAGTAAAAACATTTAATTCCTGTGATTCTGTATTGTTGGGCATGACATCTTCATTTTCATTTGTACTGCGTATCTTTTCATTGATGTTTAAATTACATTAAAGCTGTTCAAAAAATTTTCATGTTTACAACTTAGGACATTTTTGAAACACAGAAATACTGAAGATATTGAAAACGTTTTAAATTAAAAAAAAAAAAATTGCATCACAATTTATGTTTATTTAAGCATATCCTTAGCGTATTTGCAACCCGGATACCTTGGAGAATGCTACCTATGAGAGGGTCAAAATAGGAAACCAACAAGGCTCTTCCATTAACTGAATCTTAATAAGAAAGCTGCCTCATACAGGCCTTCTCAAACACTTAACTACCAAGCCCCCAGAGCCCTGATCACATCACTTTCCAGCTCTCCACAGCGTGGGGGGGGTCTGGCCGTGGCAGGAGCTTTGCCCCCCAGGCAGCTCCGGCTGTTGGACCTCTGTGACATGCGTTCTGGAGAACAGCAGCACAGGGTACGGGTTGCTTTGGGTACTCAGGATTTTTTTTTTTTTTAAATTGTTGGGTTGAAGTTAGCATTGCCATTTCTAAAGGAAGTTTTGCTTCAGTAAGAATTGAGGGGAGAAACCCTATTACCTGGTCTCTTATTCCCACAGGGTCTCTTTTCTGAGGAGGGTGTATTTTATGTCCTCACAGCTCATCTCTCTGCCTTCTTGTATATTCATGGGATGGTGCATTATGACCTGGCTTATGATTTATGTAATGGTTCAAAGGCCTCTTGGATTAGAAGGGCTATACTGTCTCAGTGGGTTCTTCATCACATACCATTTGCTTTTTTAAGAAAATAGTTCAGAGGAGGAGATTCAAGATTGAACCACACAGTGCTTGAGGGTTTTCTGTTTTTTTCTTTTCTCCTTTTTCCTTTATTTGCCTTAGGCAGACTTTTCTATCCTCCATTACGTGGCATCCAGGCGAAGCTTATTTCCTTCTGTTTCTCCTGAGGCAACGCTATTTCCCCTTAGTCTAATTTCCCAATGTCTCCTGTAACAGCTTCCCTAAATACATTTCCTTTAGCCACAAGGGCCATTGTTTTTACTGTTTCAAAAGGGTTTGAGAAAAAAATTAGCAACATATAGAAGGGGGGCACAGAACTTGCCAGAGCATGGCAAAAACAGTTGTGGGGTGTTTTTGTTTTTAAAGTGTTAGCATTTGTGCAAATCCCCCTGCAAGAGTGCTCGTGTCCTTTACCCAGCAAAACGCAGCTCTGTGCTGAGGCTGGATTCCTTCTTAGCTAGATGTCCTCCTTCTGTGGACGGGGCTGTGTCCCCTGGCAAAGCATCTCCTGGTTTAGCAGCGCGTGTGCTGACAGCAAGGCTCCAGGCAGAGAGCCAGGGCACTTCTGCCTTCGTGACCGGGCTCCTCTGTTGTGACTCAAGGCACTGACGCTGCCTCTGGGGGTGCTGCATCGTCACAGATCTGGGTACCTTGGGTAGCTCCTGATGCTAAAAGAAAATAAACCTTTTATTTATTTGTAATGCCTGAGAGGACCCTTAGCGTAGTCTGATAGGTCTATTGTTTGCATAATTCACAATCTGCTCACTTTTCTTTTTGACATTGGCAGCCATCACTTCAACAAGAAGCATGTCAGGAGATCCCAGTACTAATATCAGACTGTATTTATACGGAGTTCTTCCTGGTCTCTTCAGAGCCCCTCTCAAATTGCTGTACAGGACAGCCGCTGACTTCCATCTGTGTAGATCCACCATGTGGATTGAATGCAATTCTCAAGACACTTGCCGTTATCTGAGGAGGCCTCTGAAGGTCTTTATGGGCGGAACTGGAAAGATGGGAAAGCATAGCAGTCTCGCCATGAGATGGATCAGTGGGAAATCTTCAGTCCTATGAAGTGGTCAGATCACACTCTTAAAAGAGCTCAATGTTGATGGAGTTTAATTCACATCTTTATCAAATATTGCACACTTGTTGAAGCTTCTAGACAGGATTATGCTTGGGGAAGGGATCAACATCCACTGACTTTCAGAGCAGCTTGCAGATGAGGGCACCAGCCAGACATTGTACATGGTGACATGTAGATGTGTGAGTGAAGGAGAGCGGGCATATGCCTACAGTGGTAGCTGGAGATGGTGGAGCTGTGTCAGCTGCGTACCCGCCACTGACCGGCCCTCCCACCCCTCCGGGCAGGAGGGACCTCTGCAGCTGAGAGGAAGCTGATAGCAGGAGCTGTGCCACCCTCGAGCATCCATCCCTGCAGAGCACACGAAAGGGCAGCACATGCGTGTGCCGTATGGCAGAAAGCGTCAGAGTCAGGGTACGTTAGACGTGTACGTTAGGCACAGAAATCATGCTTTCTTCAAACAGCTGATTTTAGCATGGGCTAAGACTTGTAAATCATTCCGGAGCTGCCAAGCACTGCGTAAGAATCGAGCGTTGTTGGAGTACTTTTTCTTAGCATTAATTTGTGCTTTCTTGAATCTTTACTATGTCTTGTATCTTCTTTGTCCTTCTTGAAATTTATTTATAGAGAACAAAAATTTATCTGTTGGAGGATTTTTCTCCAGAGGAGTTCATAGTTTAAACCAGAGTGTTAAATGCTGCTTTATGATAAAATGCAGCTCACATTAAATCCATGCGTGACTCATTGCAAAGTGTTTGGCTTTTTTTTTTCCTAAATAAGCTGACATTTAAACATCATCTTGTATTTCAGAAGAAATCCTTAAGACAAGTTATTGGGGAGGAAAAAGGCAAAGTCTCTAGCAGAAGTGTTGGATTAGACACAGCTACTTCTCGCCCTGTAGAAACCGGACAACCATCTGATGAGTTTCACCTCTCTCCTTCTAAACAATGTTGGGTCAAGGAGGGATCCTCCCAGTATGGAGGCTTTCCAGGGTTCAGCAGCAGTGATGGAGTATTAAGGGAACTGGATGATGGACAATTTGACCAGGAAGATGGAGTCACTCAGGTCACATGTATGTGATAAAGTAAGTAACTGCATCAGATGGACATGTACATAATTCACACAAATGTTTAAAAAAAAAAAAAAAATCATACTACTTTTAAATGCATTGGTATAATCCTATGACTTTTCCCAGACTCATTTTGTATTTTTGTCTGTTTCTTTGTTGTGTTAATCCTACTGTAGTAATAATACTACTGCAAAATAATTTGGTTTTCTGTCTCTCTTTAATAGAATAACTACATGACTGGGTGCTCTGCTAACTTGTTAATGCTTTTGACAAGCAAGGAAGCAAATGCTGCAAAACAGTGACTGTTTGAATTGTGTAAGAGGGAAAGGAATGAGGATGTTTAGTGTTTTCCACAAGCTGGAGGAGTGGTTTTTTGTTTTTTAAAGGGTGTTGTAAATACTGGGGGGGGAAAAAAAGAAAAATGAACTATCTGGCTGTTAAGCTTTAATGTAATTTTCACTTTACTTGCCTTGCATAAATTCAAAAGCCTAGAGAAATGCAAGTCTTACACTAGAGTGTTAATAATTTAACCTACGTTCAGACTCAGTATGTACAGAAAACCTCTGGAGGCTGTAGGCAGACACTTGCTCCTGTAATATAACTTCACCTATGCAGGTTTTACCAGGGTTCCTTGTACATCTGAGCCAAGAGCTATCCGAGCATATAGCTTGTATAATGATGTATTCACAATTTACTCATGAGTGGAAATTAAGAACCACTCACAGTCTAAAAGGTAACTTGCAGTCTATGAAAAAGTAGTTTGCGAAACTCGCCAAGAAGCATTGACAGCAAGGTGCACAATGATGCTGGTAATATATAGGAGGAAGAAGTAGGCTAAACTTAACAGGCAATATTGGATGATAGACTATATACAAATACACTGATGTATATATAAAGAATTTCTCAGCTAAATGTATCTCACACTGGGTAAAGTGTATGCAACTGCATCAAATACCAGAAGGAATGTTCAGAGGAAAGGAGGAAGCTGCTGTGCTTCCATCCTCACCGTGGGGAGGAGCTGCTTGCCTTGAGGGAGCTGAACACCGGCAGGGCTCTGTGGGGAGAGGCGTGAACAGGAATTATTTTTATGCTGCTGTCTTGAAATTACACTTTACAGAGAGGAAGCTGAATAAAAGTGCATCTCCAAGAGATACTGTGATTACAACTAAAAATTGCTTTTTTCAGTTAGTTTTAGAAGCAAAAACTGTAAACGCTCATCACGCTTAAGCTAATGGAAAATAATTTGGTCAAAATGAGAAATCAGAACAGAACTGAGCAAATGTATTCACAACACTTGTCTCGATGTTTGCAGTACAGCGCACACATCACCCAGGGATTTTGATACCTGTCTGTGTGTGGTGTACTGCAAACACTGAGAGAAGTGTTGTGAATACATTTAACTACACCACCCCGCTCCCCTGGGGTGGTATCCCACCAGCTGCTGTGGGAGTCTCCCTGTCCACAGTGGTAGATGCTGGCACTAAACGCAGTGGGCAAATTAATGCAGTGACAGGAACACCAATAATTGACTCCAAACGAGCACCCCGGGAGATGACCAGGACGGTGGAAGTCAGACTGCGATCTCCGTGGCGGGGAGCTGTGCAGAAAGAACACTGGCAGAAGATGCTTATTTCAATAAGCAAAAAGTAACTCATGGAAGAAAAAAGTTACGCTTGCTATCATAAGCGAAAGTAGTACAAAGCCTTAGTGCTATTTCAGTTTATTTTTACAAGGGGGGGGGGGAACCCTTTCTACTTGCATGATTGTCATTGTGAGAGCGTGAAATGATTATTGCTTTGGAGGTGCTTCCCAATTTCATTGTGAAATTGTTGCAGGCAGGCTTGTTGTTTATTTTTCACTTTGGAAGAACAACTCTAACAACTGTTTTAGCAGGTTTGGGGTTTTTTAAAAAAAAAATCCACAGTCCTGGAGCTGGAGACATTCTTTCAACTTTTTTCCTATTGCACGTTCTTGCTATCATAAGCGAAAGTAGTATAAAGCCTTAGTGCTATTTCAGTTTATTTTTACAAGGGGGGGGGGGAACCCTTTCTACTTGCATGATTGTCATTGTGAGAGCGTGAAATGATTATTGCTTTGGAGGTGCTTCCCAATTTCATTGTGAAATTGTTGCAGGCAGGCTTGTTGTTTATTTTTCACTTTGGAAGAACAACTCTAACAACTGTTTTAGCAGGTTTGGGGTTTTTTAAAAAAAAAATCCACAGTCCTGGAGCTGGAGACATTCTTTCAACTTTTTTCCTATTGCACGTTGTTGAAAAGGGCAGCTTCTATTTTCTCACTTGAATTGCTTAAGAAAAATGCCGGCAGCCTGGCAAAATAGTTCTGAATTGTGACTGTTTTAAGAGCCAAATACATGCCAGTAGGGCAGCAGGAGGACTGTGCACACCGCGGGGAGCGATGGGAGCGCAGGAGTACCTGTGATATAGGCACGGTAAGAAATCCATTCTTGCCAAGGCTTCTCCCCCTGCTTTCCCACCAGCATCTGAAGGTCACAGATGTGGGGCACGAACCTCGCCTTCATTCCCTGTCTGGGGGCATCATGTGGAGGAGGATCGCCCCGCTAATGGGGAGAGTGCTGGGCTGGGCGTTCCCCGCAGAGCCTGACCCAACCGCTGCTTTCTCATGCAGCCCACTACTCTGTGAGCAGCGGTCGTGGTCACGCGGTAGCAGGGATCTCCTCCGTGGTACGTAGATGTGGAAAAAAAGTATGAAAATACATGTTACATCTGTCTCTGGCAGAAAGCCAAGTAACTCTAGCATATTAAAAATGGGGTAACAGCTGGCCTTGTGCAACTTGGAATATGTTGCTCTACTTCTAAAAGTATTTTTCACGAGTTGTCTGAAACTCTCGTGTACGTGTGTAATTTTAACTACCGGTGGTTCTCCATACAAGTCAAACCTGTAAAAGCAGCAAAAATTGGTCAAAAAAACTAGGAATACTGAATATTCCAAGTTAAAGCTTTTAAAGCATATCAAAGAAATTACTGAGCTTTTATAAAGCAGTATCCCTGCTTAAGATGGTTAACAGTAGCGAAACCTAAAACAAAACTGAACTACAACTATTTATATAACAAGTTACAATGTATAAAGTACTGAACTGAATGCAGTTAATCTTTCTAGAATACATTTATTGGATAAAAAGAATCATTTAAGTGAGATCTTTTCATATCAGCTGTCAGGAATGCAGAAAATTCAAATAAATTAGTATCTTCTTTTAAAAGAACTTCTCCCCTTACGATTAATGGGATGTACACAAGGGAGATTCTGTTTTGGAACAAGGGTAGAAATTGAGTATGCTCTGGATGTCCACAGGTACGCTCTAGAATATCCCCACTTTTAGCAAGAAAGTCTTTTCTTAAAATGAAATAAAGCCATATTCCTTTTCAGTAGCCCACGGTTTTAACTGTGCTTTAGTCCTTGCCCTTGAATCTTACAGGTGTTAAGTGTGCTGCAAACCTCTGTGAATTTCTTTCTAGTCTCTCTAATTTGGTGTAAATATGCTAAATTGCTTCCTCTGAACCTGCTCAGCAATTCCTATATAGTTAAGGACAGCTGTTTTTATTTTAATGCCGTTTGTCTCACAGTATGTAAAGTTGCCCCTGCTGTAGAAACATTAATCTAGATTGTTTTCCTAGCTCTCTATTGTCTTTCACCTCACAGGGCTACATTCAGGCTCTGTATTGGAAAAAAATAAACAAAATACAATCCTTCACCTGGGAAAAAACAAAGTCAACCTGACAGGAGCCAAGACAGAGATCTGTAAAGTGAGTGGCATGGAGAGGGTAGCAAAGGAATAAATTCTTCAGCATTCTTTTTTTGATACACGAACTCAAGGGAACCATGGAAGTGGTAAGTAGCAGGTTTGAAACAAATCAAGGTATCTGTTCAGCTAACTGTAGAACTCCTTGCTGCAGGATGCCGTGTATAAAACTACATGGATTTAAAAGGTGACTGAAAAATTCCTGAAAGGAAAAAAAAATTGCCCTATTCTCTCTGAAAGTCACGGAACCAGAAAGTGTCGGAGACTGTGACAGCCGGTCTGACTGACGGCATGCTTATCCTGTTCTTCGGATTATTGTAAGCACCGGTGCTTCATCCCTGGTGGGCATGTAGCAGAGAGCGTTCTCCTGCTGCAAGGCCTTCTTTCAAAAATCAGGGAGAGGAAGTTGCTTGCTCAGCCTGCGTGAAGACTGTGCAAGAATTAGCTGACTTCACGCGTTAGTTGATGGACACAGAATAAACCACCCGTCTTCCTAGGGCGTGGATGCTGAAACAGAAGTAACTGAAAATGCTTCTAAAACAAATGATGGAAAATCTTCTTTCTTTGTAGTTAAAAATTCTGAAAGCCAACTATATCTTATTTGGAAAAGTGAAAAGGGGAGGGTGCACTTTGGGTATAGGGGATTCTAATTTAAGCTACTTGTTTCATCACCTGGTCTTACACAAACCAGAGCATTGAGGTATGCCTTTATTAGTGTTGTGACCAGCACTGTCCATTAATTAAACTTAAGTCTGTAAATCAGAAGAGCTGTCAGAGTAATTCTGGCAAGATTTTTTTGTATGCTCCTATTTTACATATATATATACACACATACACAAGGTTCAGTTTTCATTTTACCAGAATATATTTTACGTACTCATCTTTTTATTGAAAGAATGGCGAATCAAACGTAAAGCATGGATGCATTCTCTGACAGAAAAAGTAAGTACACTTATTTATTCAGTAACAGGGCTTCAATTAGGAGGCTGTGTGTCTGAACTGTAACAGAAAAGTCCCTTACCTGTATGTGACAACAGAAATGCCCTGCAACTATTAAAAAGAACAGGGAGAGAAGGCAACCAATGCTGCTCATGAACCTCTGCAAAAGACTGTTTATGCTTTCAGATTCTGAAATTGTTTGGAGAGGAAATACTTTTCTAGCATTTACAACCAGGGAGAAGCTGTCCACTGTAAAGAAAATTTTGTGCTCATAACTGTCAGAACAGTTTATTTACATACCTGGTCAACTGCAATAAACTGCTGCTTTACTTCTGTGTTTCTGGTCTGTAAAATACTATTTTCTTTCTGTAAACCTAAGATCTTTTCTGTATTTCCGATAGGAAGCTTCTCACCATTAAAAGCACTTACCAAATCAGCTACCAGTTTCTTTATTATGGTTGTCTCACGCTGACATTAAATGGGTTAGATCAATGTATACCCTTCCTCAAGCTAGAATTACCTTTCTGCAGTCTTGTCTGTACATCCATACAGTTCACAAGGCAAGGCTTGTTGGACTTACCGCCATCTATTACAAGCTGATTAGGTTTTCCTTGTTCTTAGTGTATTGATCTGTGGAAGGTAAAAAGTGCTGTCTTGACAATTCCCTATGGCTTAATTTAGAGAATGGCGTTAGTTAGGATTTAGACTTTTCAAAGCCAAATTCCTGTATCGGAATTTTGACAACTGGTATTGCAATTCAAGAAGCAAACGTTCCTGACTTCAGGTAAGTGTAACTTGAAAGAGACAAAGTGGCTTAGAGGAACTGGTCTGGTGACATGTTCCAATCTGTTTAAGCAGATAAACTGACAATGTCTGAGAGAATTAAAAGCTTACAAGGAAAGTGGCAAAATCGCCATGGCTGACTTGTTGCAAGATATGCTAAGCCAAACATCAGGAAAAACCTCAGTGACTAAGGAAAAAGTCATTTGAAAGTCATCCTTTGCTTACAATATGCCCTTGCATCTGTGACGTGCTGTCATCGTGTGCTTATTTTGGCATCTGAAAGGTCCTCTTCTAGATCTCCCTTACTCTTTAATTGTAGAACCATCATTTTCTGATTTGAGATGTGTAAGTTTGAGGTCTGACTTCAAGATGCTAATGAGTATTGTATTTTTCTACTTTTGAAAGAAGAAATACAACTTCACTTCAGCGCGCCTTGTAGCAGAGATGGGAGAGCACCGAACTTTCTCTTGGAAGCACTCAGTTGCCCGCATTCTTGGACGACATGAAAAATGAGAATCGCTTACCAAAATATAGCGGTATGGATAAAGAAACAGTTTAATTTTATCCTTCCTTTTTTTTTTTTGTTACAATATAATTCAAAGACAGTCTTGATTTCCCTATTATGTAGAGTCTAAATTAAACCTGTTAATATTTATTAGACAAATCAATGGTTTGCTTAGGCTAACTGAAGTTTTATGGTACCATTCAGGCACATGTGTGTACACAGTACTCATGTAAACAATAGCAAGGGAAAATACAAGCAGTGTTTCACTTAAGCCTTATATAAAATCAGCTTAGTATAGCAAGTCAATTTTACAGTGCAAATCTGAATGAGAATAAACAGGATTAAAACTTCCCGAGTTTTGTTTTGAAGTGAAACTCTTAAAGCATAAGAGGAAGAGAAGAGGTTTAAAAATTTAATGCAGTCCTGAGCACCACATCATTTTCTTCAATTTTGTAGAGGAAATGTGATTAGTGACACCAGTTGCATGTTTTTGCCTGTCTCGGTCACCATGGCCAATGTAAGCATGCAGCGTGACTGTACGAAGAACCACACCATGGATGGTCCAACAGCAGACTGTAACAAAACTAAATACATTGTACTACCTCCAGAATACAGTCGTCCTACCTGCAGTACAAACTTCAAGATATCTACCAAAAATGACGTAACCTGGTCTATACAAGGCAAGTTATAGCTAAGTGTATAGACAGTAACTAAAGCTACTTTCACTCGGACAACACCTCATGCAGTTACCCTGCTGACAGTTAAATACAATGATAAATGTGAGACAAAAAGAGCTGCTGAAGAATACAGCTGTTGAAGTACTTAAGCTTGAGTCTCTCTATTTTCTCATTGTTTAAATTCCCTTTACATCCAGGTGGTACAGTTGCTTGAGGTGT